TTTTGAATTTTAGCAATATTCCTGGTAAAAAACCTCGCGTAAGCACATTAAAAACTATGAAAACGGCGACGACGCGGCTCGCTCGTAAATAATTGCCGTTTTAACTATAATTTTCTTTCGGGTCTTCCCAATAATTTCGAAAACCCCTTTGAAAATCAAAAAATGACACTTAATGTGATAAGTATTTAAATAAAAGTTTTTAATTACATTTAACGGTAAATACGACCTGTTGAATATTATTTCAAATATACTTTCTAAAATTTTAAACACTCACTTAATTAAACAAGTTTTCTAAATATTACAATAGCAAATTTAATCTAGTTAATAAGAACTTTCGCAAGGCAAATTTTTCATTTTTTTTTTTTTTTATTCTAATTTGTATACACATTTTTAGTATAATACATACACATACAATTATTTTAATTTTAAAGCTACCTACTTAACTTTAATATCACTTTCGGAGTTCGGTATAAAATTAGCTTTAGTTTTTTTTAAACTTTATTTAAGTCCATCACCGCTTTCAGTTGAAGATTTCACATAGTCAATCTCTTTGCGCCAAGCTTTATTGAAGTTATCTAAATGATACCAACCGAAAAATTTTAATTACTTATGAAATATTTAAAATAATATTATTTGAATAATTATGATTAAAATGTGTACCTATTGGTATTTATCGTATGAATAAAATTGTTTGACTAATCAGAAATACTTGCAAACTAAACACAGGGTCCATTATAAGTTTTCCTTAGTGTTGAAAAATAAATTAGAGCTTAATGTAGTAATTTTTTTTTTATAAATGTTTTTAAGTAAAATTTTGACAAAAACCTTACAAATTACTGAATTTACAAACATGTTGGTTATGATTTATGGTTACGTACAGATAAGTTAAATAATTTTATGTATTCCATAACATTCCCAACTTCCCACCTACAATCCCCAGTATCAGCTTTTTTTTAAAACATTTTTCTTTAATTAATTATTAATACCTATATAAAGTTTGTTGTAATTAGTACTTACAGTATTCTTTGCTATTATTCAAATACATATTTTATCAGAGGCCCCAATCTTATGATGGATGTGTCGCATTTTGAATTGTTTTATTAGCAAAATTTTGATTCAATTCTGGTGGCTATTTTGAAAATAACATAAGTTTCCCATTATTATCAAAGATCCATGTGGTTAGGATAACACTATAAAATCGCGATTCAAGAAACAGTGTACTAACCCATGATTTACGTCTCTAAACATAATATAAAATACGAAAAGGTGTTACAAACTAAGTTTTTTTTTAATGATATTAGTAAAAACATTCAAAATTACTCACTTGTCCTATCTGCAGTAAGTAAAGCCATAGGTATAATAAAACTGTATAAACAATATTATAGATATCTATACTGACTATACTAAATAATGAAAAAAGGTCGTTTACAGAAGACGCTTTACACAAATGCCGTAATTGCGGGTTTCTTTGCACCAGGCTAGTTAATTTTGCACCAAAAATATATTTTGTCGTTAAATGTTATACTCTTAATGTATAATATTAACTCATTATAAAATTATGTTAGCCGATTCAAGCTTTTTTTTTTTTTAGAGAAACAACTATAAGTCGTCGCGGTAATGTGAATTAGTAATGTATTTATTGGAACACAAATTCGACATAACGGCAATGGTTTGTAACATTCATTGCACACTGGGTACATACGGTACATTACGTATTTTTGTGTATTGGTTTCAACCGCTAGATTTTATGTCTCTGTCTCAATGTGCCCTCCTCTCCCATTGGTGTATACAGGAGGGGGGGGGGCGATAGGGGCAATTGCCCCTCCCCCCCTGGACATTATTGAATTTGTTTCATGTATCGGTACTTACTTATTTTATTATTATTAATCAAAAATTTAAAAAAAAAGGTAGATTTTTTTGTGCTGAAATGGTTATCAAAGACTTGTTCAGAGATCGATAAGAGATTAGAGATATGTAGCTGCTATCATCAGTATACATACCTATTGTTGGTTATAATAATCATGTTGTAATTGTCTATATGATTATTGTCTGTATTCTGCAACCATGGTCCGAGTTATTAACTTATTCTGGTTTCGAGGAATCATACCACAGAGTCGTGATAACTATATCATAACAAAAATTGATAAGCTTTAATGGAAAGGCGGCCATAGTAATTCGAGTACGGCACTGCGGTTATGCAGTAGTTTTCGGCGTTTGTGCTAGCAATTTTCATTAATATTCTTAATAAAAATTTTAATTAATACTGAAATTCGTAATACACTTATACACAAAATAATAGCCAGGTATATATGATGGCTGATAATGGTGTTAGGAAAAACAGCGCCGACGAACCGTACAAATATTTATTAATATTTACCTATTACAAAAATTACAATCAGATATTCTTACAAATAACCGATATGGATAAATTGACTACAGATAATATACTAAAATTATTATTTAAAAACTCCGAGTCTAATAGTTCAAATATACAACATAACATGTATTTGATACCTATACCCACGTCATATTGTTTTATACTATTTTGTGTAGGGTTTTTCAAAGGAATAAATTAGAAAAATTAGATAAATAGATTTTCATCAAAAGTAGGCAACAAGCAATAATATACGTAAAACATGTTTTTAAATAACTATACCTAATTATTTTTGTACTTTTTTATTTTTTTTTAGTGCTTTATATTAATTTACAATTGGGCTTTTTTCCAATCCTTCTTTTTAGTATTTACAAAAGCATTTTCTTAAGATGCCTATATAACTGTATTTTTTCCCTGGAGCTTTTTTTTTCTTATATGATCATTGGTCAAGGTATTTTGCTCCTAGGGCTTTTTTATCCTCAATTCGTAATAATTTAGTTATCAAAGTGGGCGCGGGAATCAATTATTCAAGTTTTAAGCAAGAAAAACGATTGGAAAATTTTGAACTGCTGATCTATTTATAATCTGTAACACTGCCGTTTATAGACATATATTTTTATTACTAATCATTTTTAAGTACGGTAAAAGTTCGCCCACGCTCCTTTGGAAGCCTCCTTGGAGCTGATTGCGTCCCTATGATCTCTCCCCTACACATATTATATTATTTGGTTAAATAACGATAAATAATAATCTCGTTGCGTTTAGAGTATTCAAATAACGAGTACCTATGAGAGAAACCTGTGTACCCGTATACTGTGTAAGTACCGGAAATGGAAATGGGGGTATTAAGCATAGATTATAATTGAAACTTCTTATATTATTATAAATAATTATGTTAATGTGTGCGAGTTATGTATATAACTAATGATTATTAACTATGACGTATGAGAAAACAATATTCTTGGTTTTTGAGTGGAGCGAAGAATGTATTGGGTTTACAAAAAGATGTTTATTTTTTTTTTTTATACTGTACAAAAATTTCTACAAGAAATCTTGCTCTAATATGTACACGTGACACAATATTTTCTGAAAGGAAATATTGCATAGAGTGTGCTTTTAGGAAGTAATTTTTCGAATTTTTTAGCGATTTTCATAATATCTGGAAAAACCCGGGATAAAACGTCAGAAATAATGAATTTATAATTCTGTTAAAAATATTCGTAAAGACTTGAAACTTTAACAGAAAACTTATATTTACATTTTCGAGACGCAGTAAAACGTATGAAACATTTGTGCCATTTTCGAGCTGTTCATAGACCTTTCAAAATTGCGAGTTTCTTATATAATTTTCATTTATTAGGCACTTTGTGGATACAATTATTTGACCAAACAAAAATGATTATAGATTAAGAATATTACAATTAAATATTAAAGTTTCATATTTATACTACTGTTAATACCAACATTAAAGAAGTACTTAAATATACTTAACATTTTTTAATATACATTACTATTGATGTACTAAGCATGATTTGACACATGCAAATTTCAAATAATTATCAATACAATGATATGAGTGGCACATATCCATACGCTAACTGAACTATCTGATATACAAAGTTTCTAAATAATAATAGTTTCTCTTCAAACAAATTTGTATACAATTGAAACACAACTGGAATTATTAAATAAACAGGTGGATGGACATAATATGCAAGACATAAACGAGTCAATTAAATTTATATTACATATTTGATTCCGATTATACGTATAATAAATAAATAACATCGTAAATGATAATATGAAATATTAAATCTAAGTTGACTAATAAACTAACACATTTTGGCCATTGCTAAATACATGATAAAAATAACACAAAGCAAATTATATAATTTGAAGTAATATATATTATAATTTATAGATAACCGTACAGGAATTGTACGCAAGAATAAAATATAAACAGGAAACAGAACGGGACTTTTCCAATATTCACAGGCCAACCGTCCAATACCACATAATTTCAATAATGTTTTATGCCAAAATGACATTGACATTGAGCCAATGGTTTTAAAAGATAAGTTTTCGGATCAATGTTATCAAATACTTTGGAGATAGTACACAAAATATTCAAAACCATAGAAGAAGTATTGTGGTTTATAAGTTATATAAGTATATAATTTATATCTAATATAGCTATGCTTTGGACGTTAATATTTATTATTAAAACCGCTATTAAAATGTATAAGTCGTGTTGAATATTTGTGTGTATATAACATTGTACCACTGTAGACTGAAAGTTATACATTACAAACCAAAGAAATGACCATGTTCATATTGAAATGTCTAAGAAATGAAAATATCATCAATGCTGATTATAGCTTTAGTTTCTATAGGAACATTGACTTCTTTCATCAAGTTATGTCAGCCATACAATTTTCCAAATGTTTGGTCTTCTTAACAAGTATTTCTCATTCAGGATCTAGATCGTACTAATTATGAATATGCTCAACAAGTAACTAAAAAATGGCCAAAGTTATTTAAATTATGAAGGAGTCCCAAAAAAAAAAACAAAAAATAAAAAAACCACAGGATAATTGATAGGAGGAAACAATATTTCACAATATTTTTAAAATACAATTACAAAATCAAAACTTTCAGCAAATTTCTTTAGACTGTTTGAACATGAAATCATTTTTGACAAAATTTCTTGAATGTTTGTCTGACGGTCTGTTCTAAAAAAATAAAAAAAAATAATAATAATAATTTTTTATACTGCTGTATAATTATTATTTAAAATATTATATCTAAACAAATATTTTTATAGAAACATTTTATTATCTTTAGAGGGAAACTCTACCAAGTATATATGCTTGTGGTTAATTAAATACATAAGCATAATTTTGAAATTAATTTGGTATAGCTTTTTGTGAACATTTAAATCAGATATAATTGTATTTATTAAAGAAAAAACTAAATTATGAAATATAGACAGTTACAACATGTATTCGTACAATATTGACGATAAAAACAAAATATATACAAAGTTATTTAAAATATGATAGTAAGCAAAGAAACTATGGGGGTTGGGGTAGATTATTTACATATCAGATTAAAATATAACACAAATCAAATACTAAAAAAAATGTAAATGTAAAAAAATGTATTTAGAACAATTGTCTTAGATTTCCTGCAGCCCTCTCATCTGTCCAACTGTCAGGATTAAATGGTATTATAATTTGTAATTTATGGGTAATATCTATCAAATATACATAAATTATTAATTATCCAGACGATAACAAAAAGATCAACAACAAAATTTTATCTGCGTGGTACTTTAGGGGGTCATTTTTTGATTTTCCAAGCGGTTTACATAATAACTGGGAAAAACTGGGAAAATACACTAACAATAACTGGGAAAATAGATACAATAATAAACAAATATTATTAAATAATAAAATAACAAAATAATAACAAAATTATTAAAATGGATAATACTAGTAATAAATATAGTCGCGTTTTACATTTTGACTGCGACATAACTAATTATGAATTTTTAATTTGAAATCGATCGTAAATACTCCAGACGACGCATTCATTAATTTGTTTATTTTTTATTTTATATATAAATTTCATATTTTACCATAATTAGACGTATATATTAAAGCAACGATATGCTGTAGCTGAAGCAATATTTATGGTAGAAAATCTAAGCCGTAAAAATTTTGAATAATATGCTGTAATTAAAAATATATATTTTGTATATATCGGAATATAAGATACATATATGTATCGACGTATATTTCGTCTTTTTTGGTTTTTTCCAATTATTATGAAAAATACATTCGATATCAGAAAACCACTTCCTTTACCACTGGCGAAACATTATAAGAAAAAAAAAATCGATAACTTGTTATTTTTGGATTATAGCAATTGTTCTGGTAGAAAACATCGTGTTAACATTATAAAAACAATGAAAACAATAGCGACCCGGCGCGCCCAAAATATTTGCCGTTTTATCTCTAGTTTTCTTTCGGGTTTTTATCAATTATTTCAAAAAAAAAAAACACTTCGGAAAATCAAAAAATGACCACCTTAATATACCAACGAAATAAAATTACCATTCAGAAAATGTGCTGTAGTCTATACTTCGGAGCAAATGTTCTAGTAGAAATGCTTTTCACAGACAAAAATTAATAAAAAAAATACCCACAAATCATAGTAAAACAAATAGGATCCCTTCCTTTGTTGCAATCTAAAAAAAATAAATTTGTCATGCCTACCAAAAATTTAAATAAATAATTATGAGTAAAAACAGGTAAAATAATTTATATTAAAATTAATTTGTAGGGCTCCTTAATGTTTCTTTTAATCTTGAAAAAATGGTAAAAACCGGATGTTTGTAAAATTTTGTTTAAAAACATATATAATAAGCATATCTCGGATTTGTACATGCCAATTATAAAAAAAAAAAATAGACATATGTCGCACCATGGGTGGGCCATTAGTGTAGAAGAGCCTTTTGTAAGAAAGGCAATGGAGGGCAATTTAATTTATATCTGTACACAATGTTTAATCATTGCTAAAAAAAACAATTTTGAGTGGAGCATAGTCAACGGTATTGATTTTTCAACAATTTGTTTCTCGAAAATTTAAAGAAGACGTTTTGTACACGGTGTAAAAAAAAAAATTAATTAAAAACCAATATAATCCCCTGTTTATTTAGAATCTAAAATTTAAACATTTTATTTTAGTATGAACAAATTAATTAAAAATATAAAATAGGGGAATCATATAATAATGTTCTAGAAATTCAGTGAATTCCGATCACTCTGTGTACTGAAGCAATTGTAAATTTCATAATAATTAGGTATTGTTTTGTACGATATTAATTTTAATGCATACTGTTGAAAATGTAATTGTTGAGGAACCTATGACTCCATCAATTCAATAACTAAAAAAAAACAACACCGTTGATCCAACCAAATCCATTATATTGTCGTGAATTGCAAACCAATGTCCTAAAACATATCATATTACATTATTTAATCAATGATATAGATGCATGCTAGTAGTTTTATAATTTTATATAATACTTTTTTAAACGTACTTTGTTTTTCAGCAAAACCCATGTGAACAGAACGCAACCAAACTTGAGCACCAGTTGAGCAAGCCCATAACTTGTACGATTTAGACCATAGATAAGAAAGCTTGAGAAGTAGATGAATCATTTGGGAAATCCTATTACTGAGATAAATTGTATATTAAAGTGAATATGCCTATAGGAACTAACACTATAATCGGCATCCGTAATACATTTAGCGCATAGATATCTCAACATTAACATAGTCATATCCCTAGTTGGCAATGTATAACTACCAGTCCACAGTGTTACATTATTAGATATATTATTATACATTTTATCAATGTTTATGGTTTCTTTAATCAACACTGATTTGTCTCTTCTCGGCGTTACATACAATTTATAATAGTTCATTTCAATCATGAAATCTTTATATCTATAGCATAGCTGCTAAAACAATAATATCTCCTCTATGTTATCGAGTGACTGTATACGAATGAACGTCTTTGATAGTTTTGATATGAAATCCCATTATTCCAAATCACTCACTCAATGTCAGCGCATTAAGCGTATAATCATAAAACACTGTCTTATTCACCGCGTTTGATATTTCGAATTTGTATCGGACACTTGACCTGTGAATATTGGCAAAGTACCATTCCGTTTCCGTTATGACAACTATCTTTGCTTATGTTAATGTATTACTGTTAGCCGTCTGAGGATCCTTTCTGGTTAACAAAATAAACAATACAGATTGTAGTAATTATACTATTTAAACGTTATAAACTAAATTACAGTACATAAGAAAAAAATAATATAATTGTACGCTATTTTAAATATGACTAAGACCTGTAGGATTTTTGTCTCAATCCGCAGAACAGTGTGTAGTATATAGTCGTTCTGTATGTTTTCTGACCTTTCTGAAAAGTATCTATCAGATGAACCATCCGATATTTACATTCTTTTCCAAAATCCTGAAATCAAAATATTAATCATGCGTAATTATGCATTACATATTTACTTATTTATTTCATATATATTTGTACGTTAATGAGCGAATGTATTAATTAACTGTGGCTCTCTATGTAATACTCTCCATATTTTGGTCATGCAAACTTTAACCTCATTGATAAACTTAATTAAATAGACAAATTATTTATTTTATAAATAATATAACATAATTGTTGTATCGTTGTTTTTTGTTTTTTTTGTTTTTTTAAATTGAATTCAACCATTCAACTATACTATACTTTATAAATTAAGTATACCTATGATATTAATTATTATTTTACACAGTTCGCATTATAGCAGATCGGTGGATTTTTGATAATAATTTATGTAGATAACATTATATAATTAAAATGTACTCAATACATTTTTAAGAAGAGCTAATTACAATTTCGTTCAATTTAGATTTTACAAAATACATGAATACTACCTAAATATGAATACAAAATATTTATCGAATGTGATTTTTTGAAATATTATGATTGTTTTAATTTTTATTTTCTGATATTTTAAAACGTAACTTCTGATTACCTTTTAGGAAACTACCAGCAAACTATGACGAATTTTTTTTATGTTAATAAGTAATTATAAACTGTGGTGTAAAAGTAAATAAATTATCTGTGCACGTATTTTTGTGACATTATAGTATATTAAAAATTACGATTTTCCATTAGGTGACTACAACGAACTTTATTTATACAGATATAGAAAATTAAAAGTTGTCATATAATAAACAATAGAAAACAAATTGCTGTTATTACTAGTAAAAACTTTTTCTATGGACGTGTTTTTATGACAATATATCGATTCTCCTTCAATATTACTGCCCAATATCTACGACACTGGTACTCTCATATATTATTAATGTTAAACAAATGTTTAGACTAGTTTAAAATTGTTCATTAAATGAATACTGAATACGTAGTCGAAAAGAGTGTATTTATTTCGGGTGGACGGGTTTAATCATACTTAGACAAACATCGAGCGAAAAACACGCCTCTAGTAGGTACATTTTAAGCATTTGAATAATTAAATAGCTATAAAAGTGAAAGTTGTAAAGCTTTTAAAAGTAATTAATTAGTTATTATTAATGATTCATCATGTAGGTACCTATTATTGACACGACGGTTGTAGTTTATTGAGACGCTTGAAAAAATATTCTTGTCCAGTAAAGAGAATCTTGGAGAAACGCACGTAATATTTTATGTACCTACATATTAATCTATTATAGTTTTTATAAAAATGCAATGCCGATAGACGTAGGATAATCCCAAAAGTGGTGCTGTTCCAGTACCGCACAGTTGGAATTATTATGCGAATTGGCCAAACGGATGATTATTTTAGGTATACGGAGACAGATACGAACACGACGAAATGTACAAACGGGCTAACTCTGTTTCACTAATATTATATCTAGATTCGCGGCGTACAGATATCAATTACCATAGATGTGTTGTAAAAACACAAAAACCGTACAGATTTATAAATTGTAGAGTGTATACAACATACTGAAAGAAACCGATTGGTTTCGAATGAGCTTTGTACCTATAACTTCCGCTGGTTTTTAATTATTATATTATTGAGCAGATGTTGCCGAGGCTGCGTTAAAGGTAAAATTGCTAGGGGAAGTGCATGAATGGAGTATATCATATATGCTATAAATAATAAAAAACCGGGGGTGTAATTCTGTCGAAGAAGCCAAGAGGAAGGCGAGTAACAGGGGAGAGTGAAGAATTGCTACAAACCAATCTCAAGATTAAATACAAAATAGAGAGCTAATTTTTTTTTTTAAAAAAGGAATTGTAACGATCCCGCCAGGAAAAAAAATCGTCGTTTAAATATTATACGTTTTACTGTTCTAGTTTGGAATAAATCTAGTTTAGCTCTTTTCAAATCTTTACATATTTTTATTTCTCTAAAAAAATTCTAAATTTTTATGTCACTCTTTGCGGCCGCAGTTTTACGTTCAACGTTTCGTAAAGCATTTATCGAAATTTTTATATATGATATTTGATTACTCATTCATTATTACTGCTTAAGTATTTTTCAATGTATGTACTTTTATTTATACACGACGAGCAATCGCCATATTTATATTACCTCAAAAATAATGGACTTGTATTTAAAAATACAATATTTTGTCATTTTTCTATTATAAACATAATGCTTTTGTTTGTTCCTCAAGATATTTCTAAAATGATTTTATTGAAATATTCCGTACGAATAAAAAAATAAATAAGTAAACATCAAAAAAATAATGTATGCCTAATTTATATCAATAATCGATTCGTAAATGACATTCCAAATATTGAACGGGAAACCTCAGCCGAAAAAGGTGTAGGTATGTTTTAATTTGTGCGGACAGAGGAAACTGGTTTATCATATTTGAACGAAAAGAGAATGGTCTTTTTTTGGGCGAAAAACGTACCGCCTATACTTCTTAATTAATTATTAGTTGATTATTATTAATACCAATTATTACCTTATTGACACGACGGTACAGGTAGTCCATTCAGACGTATGAAAAAAATCCTCTTGTCAAGTGAACAAAATCTTGGGGACATTTCCCGTACACATTATAATAAATATTTCTATCGATACTAAATTTTATCAAAATGCAAATCGTCCTAATGCCGATTTACGTAGAATAATCCCGAAAGGGGTGCTGTTCCAGCACCACACAGTCGGGATTACAATGCAAATAGGCAAAACGGACGGATTTTCAGGAACAAAGAGACAGATGTGAACACAACGAAATATACGAACGGACTAACCCGACTTTATGAACATGTTATGTATTTAAACACTTGTCTTGCGTATAGTTTCACGCGGCGTGCAGTTATCAATATTAATATTATTGAAGGGGGGACAATTTTATCGGTACTGAATTAAATTATTTTTATAAAACGTCTTGTCGGTTTTTTTCCTACGCGTTTCCTTCATTGTTAACTGGACTATTAATTAAAATGATCATTAATATTATTAGAATTTCCATCTTATATATTATGACGTGCGATATAATATCATAATTATAAGGTTTAAAACAGTGCTTCCTAACCTCTTTCATTCTACGACTCCATTGTAGAGTTTTCAAAAATCATCCGTATCCAACTCTCCCTCACTCTATAAATTGAAAAAATTGACGATTTGTTTTTTTTTTTTAATTTCGTGTGATTTATGAATAAACTGCAAAATATTCGTAATGACTATAATTTTATTGATTTATACAAATAACAATGAAATTATGTACTTATTCACAATATGAATAATATTGTGCGACTTTTTAAAATAAAATAAACGTGAATAATTCACGTTAATTGGCCAATTTTTTTGATATTTGGCCAGATATTGGAGAGAGAGAAGGTGAGAGACAGTACCTTTTAAGTCGTTTAAATCCGATTCGCTATTCAAGAAATGTCTGTGTTTTGTTTTTATAACAATGTATTTACGGCGGTGCGAAACGTTTGGAGATTTCTATTATTGTCCCAAGAACGCAAATCATTTTGAATAACGGGGGCGGAGGAGAATACTAGTTAGCAAAATATCAACCCACCTTGGAAAAAAAAATTAGCTCACTTCGCTCTCAGACATTAATTAACTAAGGGTTTCCTCAAAAATCGTAAACAACCAATACTTACATGAATACATGATGACGACGACGATCGACTAATACATAACACAATTTAATATTTTTATAGGTACCTACCTACAAAAACCATACCATAGGTAAAGTGGAACGAGACTACAAAATAATATTGTTTTAAAAATGTATAGAAATTGTTATTTTTTTTCACCCTTATTATTGGGGGAAAAACTACTGCCATTCATTAAATTGTCAATGGGCAACCTATATTAATAAGCCTATAAATAGATGGAGTATTAGTTAAAATAAATTTAAGTGTGGACATTTTTGATATCTTTCAAACCGTTGGCAAGATATTCCAATTTTAAATTTTGGTTGGAGGAGAATGGTGGTGTATTATTAACACGCCGCGCACTGTACTGCAACACAAATGATACTCCACCACTCGCCGATAACCAAAACTTAAAAGTGGAATGTCTCGTCAACGGATAAACGAAATTCGAAAATGTCAACACTCAAATTTATTTTAAATAATATTCCATCTATTAATGGCATTT